TTTTTTTTTTTTTTTTTATGAGACAGAGTTTTGTTCTTGTCACACAGGCTGGAGTGCAATGCGTGATCTCAGCTCACCACAACCTACACCTCCCAGGCTCAAGCAATTCTCCTGCTTCAGCCTCCTGAGTAGCTAGGATTACAGGCATGTGCCACCATGCCTGGCTGGTTTTATATTTTTAGTAGAGACAGGGTTTCTCCTTGTTGGTCAGGCTGGTCTCAAACTCCCGACCTCAGGTGATCCGCCCACCTTGGCCTCCCAAAGTGCTGGGATTATAGGTGTGAGCCACTGCACCTGGCCCCTTTTTTTTTTTTTTTCAAGTGGTGAGCTGGTAAATCAGCTCTTAAAACCAAACCCCTGATTTGTAGTGTTTGCCAATGTCCATGGTATAAATATTCAAGCCATGGCTAATTTCAAGCTATCAACATGATGTGAACTGGCTCACAAAATTCCTGAAAATTTCACAATCAGCTCTTGTTAGCCAGTACAGACTGGCTTCAGCACACCACTCATCCCATCCTTAAAGTTCACACCAGTCTTTATGAATTGGCACCATATAAATGAAGCTGGAAATTTCTGGAGTCCAAAAGTCAGAGATCCAGTGGCAAACTGAGATTGGTCTGCCCCAGGTCCAAGGTGAGAAACGAGAACCATGGCAAAAAGTAGCTTCTATAAGGAGGACAGCCACCCCAAGGCAAAAAAACAAACAAACACAAGGCTGGGCACACACCTCAAAGATCTCAAAGCCAGCAATGTCCAGCACACCGATGAAGAACTGCCTCTGCATCTTGGTGTCCAAGGTCTTGTTAATCCTGGCCACCAGCCACTTGAACATCTTGTCGTAGACAGCCTTGCCCAGAGCCCCAATGGAGTTTTGGCACTGTTCCATGTTCTGGCCTTTTTGCACAAACTCATTGCCTACTTTGACCCGGGGCCTGGTGATGCCCTTCTGCAGTTCACCAGAGTTGAGACCCATGAGATGGGCGACTTTGTCAGCCACTGAGTAGGGATGGAAAAAGCAGGTTAGTGCAGGAAAGATGTAGCCATGCCCAGGAGAAACCTGGCAACATCTGTTGTGGTTCAGAGAGGGGGTGAAAGGGAGGGTGGAGGAGATCCCATTTTGCCAATGAGAAAACAAAGATGTGGTAGTTTCTACACTTGCTCAAGGTCAAATGGCAGCTGGGCACTGTGGGTCATGCCTGTGATTCCAGCACTTTGGGAGGTTAAGGTAGGAGGATCACTTGAGGCCAGGAGTTTGAGATCAGCCTGGGCAACATAGTAAGACGCTGTTTCTACAAAAAATTAAAAAATTATTCCAGGCATGGTTGTGTGCACTTGTAGTCCCAGCTATTGAGGAGGTTGAGGCAGGAGGATCGTTTGAGCCCACAAGGTTGAGGCTATAGTGAGCTACAATTGCATGACTGCACCGCTGCGCTCCTGCCTAGGCAACAAAACAAGACCCTGTCTCAAAAAATAAATACAAATTAAAACAACAACGACAGCAAAACAAAATCACGTCTTGACCCTCAATTGTGCTTTTCTGAAAATATCAATGTCTGAACATGTGTGGCTTGCAGCCACGTAGAGCTGGCATATCCCTGAAATGGCCACAAAGCCCTGGAAAGTAGGGAACTCCCCTCCACTGGCCACCTTGTCCCTGAGCAGCCCCAGCCCAGCACCCACCCTCAGTGGTGTCCACTTCAGCTTGCTCTTCTCTGGGCTTCTGCTTGAACTTCATATTCCCAAAGTGCATGATACCTCCGGTCAGCTTATACACGGACATCTTCTCCTCGGTGCTGAAGCCCAGCACATCAAAGGCTTCCTGCAAAGCAACAGAGAGACAAAGCCACATGACTCGTGCCTTCTCATTCTACATAGTGGAGGCCATGCCAAACGGCCACTGCGGCAGGGCGTGGACCCTGGAGTTAGACACACCCTGAACAGGGAGGGTTCTATTTTCCTCCAAGGAGCCCAGATCAGATGTTCTGCTGTAAGTCATCTTCTTTATTGCAGTAACCTCTCTGGCTTCTGTTTCACCACCTGGTAAATGGTGATGTTAAT